TCTACCCCACGAAAAGTGAGCCCGGGAAAGCCTGAACCCTCAAAACTCAAAACATCTCAAACCCCGTTCTTTTTTTGCATCCAAAGTCTGCATCGACTCAACCAGGACGAAGACAGCCCCCGAAACCCCCCTTCAAACTCCGCTCAAACCCCTTAACACCTCTTGGCTGAAGAGCGTCCTCGAGATGGGGGAGGCCACCTCCCGACAGCAGCTTGAGAAGATCCTCCTGACAAACTAATCTTCGAAGCATGTGGGGCCATAGCTCACACCACGCTGATGCCACCGAGGTTTAAAGTTTAAGGCCTAGCTGCTTTTGAATAGGGGTCGACTTACCTCCTACCCAATAGCTTCGAGCCGCACCACCAAAGCCGCAGAGAGAGCTTCGAAGGCGAGCGTTGAGGGCCAAGAAACACATCGATGCCTCGATCTATGGGCGAACCTCAGGACAGAGACGAAGCAGCGCTGATGCCGCAGCAGTTTCTTTCCGGTACGTGGCCCCTGCATCTAAAGCCGAACCCACCACCTCGCATCGAAGCAGGTGCAAGACCAAGCCTGCCCCAGCGTTGGAAGAAAACAGCCGGGCTTCCAGGACAGAGCGACTGATGCCTTGTCGGCCTTCCCAATGTCTTCTGCAGGAAACTCGAAAAGCGGCGGGATGTACAATCTTGATGCTGCACCTTTGCAGCTTTTGACGGCTCTTCGGATTCCGGATTCTCGCACAGCTTTCACGATCTCGCCCGAACTGGCGATGCCGTAGAAAATGGCTAACAGCCCCCGAACCCAGCGTGACAATATGTCCCAGGAGCCCAGGAGGCAACTTCAAGATGGGAGGCAGCAGCTTCTGCACATGGCCCAACAGCTGACGATAGTGGCTCAATGGAAGACCAGTCTGGCACAACGCACCAGCATAGTCCCGAACGAGCAAACTGAGCACAGCAGGGACGGCTGGCAGCGCTGCCGCGGTTGGAAAACAGAGAGGCTGCAGGGGCTCCAGAAAGCCTGAAAGGCCGAAAACGCTGGCAAGAAAAAGGAAACTGCAGACCTCCCTCTCGCAAAACAACCCCGAGAGAAAAGAGCTGCCACCTCGGCATCACCTTCCCAGCCCATGGACATCAGCCCAGTCTGCTCCAGGCGTGACAGCATTGGCTGAAGTGCCAGGAATCCGCACTAGCATCCCGAAAGGGCGGCAGCGAGTTAAAGGTAGCAAGAGGTAGCAGGCGTTGGCTTTGCAGGGCAGGCATCAGTCCATGGACTTTTGTTGCTTAGAATTCCTTTAAATTGCATCTGAAGGCGGGGTCAAAGAGGGGGCCTGGAGGTGAAGGGCGCCTGCGGATCAGGAGTGCCCTTAAACTCCCGATTTTTTCGGGGGCTCAGAGGTCAAAGCCCCTCAACCTGCAAGAGATGTCAATTTGTATACCAAAACGATCTTGAGTCTTGAGAGCTCGGGCCTGCTTTCGTGATTCAGCAATAGGGTACGTCAGGCGAGGATTTGCCTGTGACCATTCCTCCCGCAAGAATGTTCCTGCATCGGGTTCGCGGGCCTGCACCTGAGTCACGATAGTTCAGCGTGTACTTCAGTTGAGGGCCGAAAATGCTCAACAAAAGAATGGCTCCTGGAGAGGACCGGTCAGCCGCAAGGACACGAGCTTCGAAGACTGGATGATGGCAGAGGTGACCTCCGCTACTGCACGCTTAGTCACCCTAAACCCGAAACCCTTTTGGCTTTCAGGGCTCCTGTGGTAGATCGAAACTTGAAACCCTAAACCCAAAACCGCTTATATGATTTTGCTAACCTTGAGCTCCAGGAAAACGTCGTGCTCCTTCTTTCTGTTCCAGGGACTGGCTGATGAAGCGAAAGGTCCAAGAACTGCAGCTTTGGAAATCGCGACAACGTGCTCACCGCACGGAAGTGGGACACGCGCAGCGTCGGCAGAACCTCTGCAGCACGGGCCACCGGAAAAACAAGCACGAAGCCTACGCACAGTCGAGGGCAAGGTCTGGGTTTGGGGTTACAGGGTTTAAGGGCCCCAGACCCTAAACCCTAAACCCTAAACCCTAATCCCTAATCCCTAGTTAAGTTTTATAGGGCTTAAGTCTTAAGGGGTTCGAAAGCCGCCGAGGGCACCAGGGCTTCCAGCGGCGGGGCCGCCTCGCGCAGCAAATCCACCACCTGTGTGGAGAGCGTCTCCTGGCAAAAGCCCAACTACCCCGTATGGGGGTTTAGGGTTTAGGGTTTATGATTTAGGGATGTTTAATGTTTAGGGTTTAGGGTTCGGGCTAGTTGAAGTTTCATGGCTACTAAAAGGTACGGTTAGAAGTACCCTAAATCAAGTTAGAACCATAGTTGCCCTAACTCTAACCCAAGCAATCTTTGGGTACTATGCCAAGTAAAGAAAGAGGGTTTCCCCACCTCATTCTTCGAGATGTCCATATACTTCAGTTGCGGGCAGATCTTCAACAATCCTTGGCCAGCGCCGCATTCGGGTCAGCACCAGTGGTTGTGCTCACACAAATCTGCAGCTTGCTTGTCAAAACTCGGCTCACGTGGGCCTCTGTCAGTGTCGGCATTGCGCTCAAGCGCAGAGTTTCCTCGGCAACATCGGGGAAACCACAGCATCCCAGACCGTTTGCAACGTCCGACAAGACTGAGTGCAAGGTTCAGGGTTCAGAGTTTAGGGTTTCGGGTTTCGGGTTTCGGGTTTAGGGCAGTCTAGAAGCCAAATGCGCCAGGTTTTGAGAGCCTGCCTGGCCAGCTCGCTGCTCCTGCGCAGGCAGGTCAGCCGAGCTCCAGATGCACTCTCAACTTCACATGAGACAGGCTATACACAGACATTGAATGGCACTGACAGACTGAGTGGACAAAACAACCGACGCAAGTGTGAATCAAGAAGCAAGGAACCACCACCTTGCCTGCGAAAGGCTTAGACTTGCAAGCCAAGAGTCGAGCCAGGCCACCACGTTTTCACAGTTGCCTAGAAAGTCGTCTTCATGGAGGCAAAGCGAAGGGAAGAAGCCGCGTTGCAGGACAAGCGCCCTGCAGCAAAGCGTCAACACGAATGAACCGGTGACCGTCACATATGCCTCACAGACCTGCTGCTTCCAACAACTCTTACAGCTGCTCTTCAATCACGGCCGCCAGCCCTGGCCTGAGCTCGCGACAGCAAAGCTCTGCTGCCAGAAGCGAACTCGATGGAAGCCACTGCAAGCACAGCAGCAGCTTGTGAAGAGGCAACGCTGGATCAGCGGACCTGGGGACATTTGGGGACAGCCACGAGATCAACTTGTGACAACCGATGCTTGGATCAAACCGCTGACCATGCGCATTGCCGTGAACACCGGACAAGCCCACGAAGGAAAAAGCCGCCCAAAACCCGAAAAAAAACAACAAAACTTGTGACCTTTCCATCACCTGAAAACTTGAGAGCAGGGCGAACGAAAGCTAGGGCACAGCAGACAGTCTCTTACACATGAGCTCAGGTCACACGTAGGACACATCCTAGGAAATCTCACAACGCAAGATCGTCCACGGCACTCGTCGATGGTTTACTATCACGCAAACAGGTTCGTCTGAATGTTGAAGATCACACAAGGCAAGCTCCTACAGGATACTCTTCACTGTCTTGCTACATGCAATCCAAGCTCATATTGACAGAGTTGGTTCGATGCATGCGCGTAGTCTTCATGTGTACGAAAGAGTTCATACATAGAAAACATCTTCTGGCTTCTCACAATGCAAGCTCGTCTAGTAAACAACCCCCCCCCCCCCCGGACAAGGAGGTAGCAAAAGAGACCGCCAGTTGGGCTGCGGAAAAACCGTGCCAGAACAGTGGCCAAGAGCGGCGGCAAGAGCGGAGCGGCGGCAAGAGCGGCGGCAAGAGCGGCGGCAGTGGGCAATACCCTGGATCGCGAGTCTACACACGCCAGCGGCGCTATGTCTCGAGTAGAGGACGACTAGAGGCTGGAGCCAACTTCTGGAGACAAAATGGCTCCTGATGTGCTCCTGCCTTGCGTATTCCACAGCCGGAGCCCGGCACATTTCCCCAATGTGAGTTTCGAAACTTGAAGATTGGCCCAAACATCGTAGCATCTCGACCCCGAAGTTTTCGGACACCCTGAACCTAGCAGGTCTCACACCCTGGACCCCAAAAAAAAGAAACTTAAGTCTACTTCTTTGCCTTGCCGTGACCCCAGCCCTCGACTTCGGGGTGCCGGGTTGGTGTTCGTACGTCCTCTTCTGCTCTCCTCTCCACCGAGTAGTCATGCCAATTCCGTACACTTTGCCTGGTTGTCAGCACGGGCGCATAACATGTGTCGGGACGGCGAAGTTGTCCTGAACGGACCTACCTGCCTTTGTCCTACCTTGCGCCTTTCGGGAGGTTTTCACGGGCAGTAAAGCCACAGCCCCACAAGCTTGTCTCAGCCTTCGTTGCGCTGGGCTGAAGGGTTTTTGTGTCCACGGGAAACAAAGGACGGTTTTGCCCCCCAAACTGATTCATCGCGCAGAGGCCCTCAAGTTACTTCTAATTCTTGCTGAGAAAGAAGAAAAGTCAGACTCATTGCACCCTTGCTTGCTTCAACCCAGATTCAAGCCGGAACCCTCAACCCAATCTTTCCAACCAACTGACGGCTCCAAGGCTGGGCCCGGAAGCGGCAGCGGCTCGAACAGCACGCTGTACAGTTGTCCCATGGCCGAAGCCAGGCTTTGAAGGGCGCACTTTTGTTTGGGTTTAAGGGGGTTTCAGATTTGTTCTTATTAAGGTACCCTGGAAACAGCTGAAAGTTTAGGGCTCAGCTTCACCGCGGAGTGTTCAGACGCGAATGGCTTGAGAGGCCCCGTCCATTCGTTGCCGAATGATGATGTTGCATGGCGAATTGCAGAAGGCATTTTCAAGGTAACTACAAGCAAACACCTCAATGGAGCCGGTTAGAATGGCAACTGACTGGTTGTTCAACCAACGCACATCTCCCGTCGCCTTGCATGCCTTGGCAATTCACGATGCCTGGTCCGGTTCCGCCATCTCGTTGCGAAGAAGTCCTGCAGCCTCCTCGAGCAAGTCGGCCTCTCGTGGCTTGCACTCTGAAACAACACCCCACCTTGGAAACGCTAACCCTGGCTCGTCTGGTCCCTTGTCTCGAATCTCGAACCCTCTCTCTCTCTCTCTCTCTCTCTCCCCTTTGTCTCGAATCTCGAACCCTCAAGTATCACCATTCCGGGCGTGACACCTCATGTTGTCGGGCAACAGGCACCGACACCGGTGCAATGTCGACTTGTGCCGGAACAGCCTGCAAAAAAATGTTTCTGTACATATATATCTATACAGAAAAATCATATCACATGAATATAATATATACGTACGTATACATGTACATACGTCGTAAGAAAACATCTGCATTCGCACCTCAAGAGCTGCACTTGCTGAAGCGGCCCCGTTTGGCAGCCCATGATGGTGACCTTGGATGTATAATGATGATGATGATGATGATGATGATGATGATGATGTGGCCACATCACCCTGCACTGCAACACTTCCGCGACCGCAGCAAGGCGTAAACCTTCCTCGTCATGAACCCGAGCTGTCCCTAGAATCCTGGCAAGAGGAGAGCAAATGTCAGATGGAGACTCGGACAGATTCGGACATCGCATATTTTGGTGAGACTGTGCCTTCCAAGCTGGCCAACAAGTGATGGAGACGATGCAAATGGCGCGCCAGGACATGCCGCAGTCCTTGGATGCCAATACGTCTTTCGTCATGCGCCCTATGGACTATCCCACGACATTGCAAAAGCACTGTTACCTAGGTCGGCTTGCGAGAGCTTTGCGGAGGAGTGACATGTCCTGTGGCAAAACAGCATGTTTGCGCGAACCTGGCACAACACCACCAAGGAATTTGTCACTCTCAATGCACACAAAAGACGGGTCCACCTAGATGGCGACACCTTGCCAACGAAAATGAAACAGCACCGTTGGTGCGAAGGACCGTGTACCAACACTGCTGTGCCGAGGTTCTGACACGGCTTCTGCCACTTGCCCGTTCCTGATGTCACGTCAGCTTTCTGGTTGGGGGGTCAGACCACCATTATGCAAACTCATGTTTTGCGTTTCGGGTTCGAGCAACGCGTTTTTCGCTTCAATGAAAGGCCGTGCATGAATGAACATCCTCATGCTACACATGCATGATCTCACCAGGCGGCTTCTCCACAGTGGCCAGCACAGCCTACAGGAAACACACCCTCGGTAAAGCCCTGCTCTGCGCACAAAACTCGCCCTATCAGGACCTCCATGGCTTTGACGCACTCGGCCTGCTCGCCTGCACTTTCAACATATCGGAATTATCCTCCACAGCACTTGTACTTCTACTGGCAAGCACGCTTGTTCAAACTCCCTAGCAGCCCTCGCACTCTCCCAAGCATTTCCGGCCAGGGTGCGGCCAACGTCATGCTCCAAGGCGGCCAAGCGTTTCCTCAGCAACGAAACTGGTGGTCAATCAACTGCCCCCCGTTGGGTTGATTCCATCTTAAACTTATCCTTTTTGCAGCTGGGACTCTTTGATGCCAGGCAAAGCTGCTTAGCAGCAGAAACTTACCCTAAACCCCCAAACCCGAAGCCCTAAACCCCCTAAACCTTAAACCCCCTAAACTCCAAACATCTCCAAACCCTGAATTAAGGTGCAGCCCAAGCCTCGCCAGTTTTTTCAGCCGCTCCGTTTTGCGCAATTTTTGTGGGCACAGGCTGTCCAACAAACGACTTCGCAAGCGCTGCAACATGAGCGCCGTGCACGCCTGCACACCGAAAAGCCGAGCTGTCCAAAATTCTAGCCATGAACAGTGCCGCCGAGTGTGTGGCCTGTTGGTCGTCCAACTTGAAAACCGTGCTTTCCATCAACATCTGCGCGCACATGACAAGCCGGCAACAAAGTCTATGCCAACCCCACCGTGATCACAAAGCACTTTTGGATTCAAGCAATCGACTCAACCAACAACAAATTCACAACACCCGGCGATTGCTGTTAGTCAAGAGGGACCACCAAAGCAGGATTCGTCGAAAACTCCCGGGAGATTCTAGCTGCCTCAACAAGATGCATATTGCACCACCAACATGCAGCGAGGCAACACGGCCTGAAGCTCCGCCAAGTCTTCATTTATCCGAGCGATCCGCAGCGCTGTCGGTTCAAACCCGCCTCGTAACAATCGTGTTGAAAACGAAAGTGCTGATTACTTAAAACTGAATGTTGGGATTCGTCCTGTGCCTCCATATCCTGTCAACGGCGACTCGTGAATCCATGCACCTGTCGCCCCCGCCCGACATGGTGATGCCATGGCCGGCTAACATGACCAGCTGTGGCGCTGCATGTTCACAAAACGATTTGTAAGCGCACAATGTGACAAATACTAAAAACAGTGATCGTGTTTTGGATTCACTTTTGTTGGGCAACAGTCTATGGCAACAGCAACCTCGTTGGGGCGTGAACATTATCGAAAACAATCTGTAGTCGGAGACAGATGCATTCACAAGAATCAAGTAAGTGCAAAAAGGCGTGGACGTCACCCCGATCTGCTCCCCTTCGTGCGTCTTTTTTATGGGTGCCCCTCCACATTTTACTGGTGGGACGCCACACGCTCGTGCAAAGAGGTGACCCAGCAGAGGGCTGTGAACAATAGGTGGCCCTGGCCCTGGTGCTGTTCGCCATGCGCTGTCGCTTGCCTGCACGCGATTTTTTTTTTTATCCTTGCTCTTTTTTGCTGCTGCATAAGGGTCCGCGGTCCCTGACGGGCGGTGAGGACAGAGGTCCAGGGCCCTTCAGGTGCGGAGAGGCAAAGGGCTCGGGACTGCTTCAAAGGAGGCAGCACCCAGGAGGTCGCTCAACTCCAAGGCTTCCCCATCAACATTGGCCACGTTCGCAAAGGAGAGGAGGGCTGACCAGCGGGCGACGTAAGCGGCCCGGGCGCTGGATCGCAGCAGAGGGGGGGGGCTGCGCGGGAGCGGCTACGAGCGAGGAGTCGGCGGCCTTGCGAGCAACGCGCAGGGCAGCTCCGGCTGTGAGGCGTTGGTGACGGCGAGCCTGCCCTGCCGAGTCCAAAGTGGTGTCGACTGCCAACTGGGCGCCACTCCAGAGGGGAAGGCCGTTGGCGATGACCTTTATGCGCAGCTCGTCCTGCCGTTGAACAACGAGGTTGAAATCGCGCAGCCGCACGTTGGTGGCGATCTCTGCAGACACGAGCGGCAGCTCGCTCGAGCGGGACACCGTGCAGACTCTGGATGCGAAGGGGCCGGACTAGGATTCAAGCAGCGTTTGTGAGGGGACGTCCAGCCTCTGTGCCAGGGAGCCCGCCGTGTCAAGGACGTGGGAAGCACTGCGCTGCCAGCCTCGAGTGAAGTCAGCAGGCTGGTCATCGGGCTGATCAGCTGTCGGGGAAGGGGCGTGGGCAAGCCCATCCCACGGCGTGCGTGCGCCGCATCCTTCAGCGCTGACAGTGACGGCGCCGCCTCAGCAGAGCTGGGGGGTCACGAGCGGAAATGGCCGGGATGCAGTCAGCCCAGGATGCGACGTAGGCCGTCGGAGCGTGTCGGGCCGCACTGCGCAGCCCGAGTCCCCCATGCCGAAAGCTGAGGTGGCCCGCCTGCAGACAAGCCCGTTGTCCAGGAACTCCCCGGCGGACTCAAGACGAAGTAGTGCGGCAAGGCATGTGAGGACAGACCGGTCATGCGCAGAAACGAAATCGTTTGTCCTGCTGCCATGCAGCCTGAAAGTCGGGGACATCAGGTAACCTCGCAAACAAGCGGCCGTGCTGTGTGGACAAGGTGTCAAGCTGCGCGGCTATGTACTCGGGTGTTCCGAGTGGGGTTCCGAGCATGCGGAGGCCATGTTCCGATGCAGGAAGGCGCGCATCACCAACCCACATCTGCGCACCTTCGCCGCGTTCCAAACACGAGTCTTGGACGGGTTGAGGCGGATGTGCGCTTGGTCGAACAAGTGGTGCTGCAGCCTACCGAAAAGATGTGAGACGCGAGGTGGTGGTGAAGTTACGTACACATCATCAAGGAAGGCTCGCACACGGTCGCCAGGTGGCATCTCAGCCTGAACGGCCGCCAACGCGGGGGGAATGCCCAAAGCAAACAGCGCCGGCATAACAGGGTCGCCTTGCTCACCGCCCTCGGCTTGCACGATGCGGTGGACGACCCAGCATCGTCACGCCACAGAAACGTGGAAGGCTGGCCATATGGCAGAACACAGGCTGCGTCAGGTGTGTTGCGCAATGCACGGAGCATGGCCTGCCGACTGATGAGGTCGTAGCGGGTCGAGCTCGCACTCTAACTGCAAAATGTGCGCGAGGGCCTCCGTGCCAGCGCGTGTAGCCAGTACATACTGATGGGGTCGCGTGGCCAAATCAAAAACATGGGCGAAATGCTGAGCCAAGGTTGTGGCAACCAGGCGCCTGAGAAAGTCCCCCACAACAATGCCCCTAACGCCTCCGGCGGGCTTGCGAGTGACGAGCCGTCCCAAGCCAAGGGCCGCTGCGATTGCTGGTGGCAGCTCAGCGCGGGCGAGGCGCGCCGCGACAGCACCAAGAAGGTCTACGACCGCCGCGTCATCAAGAATGAGCCGGGCGATCTCGGCGGTATAGCCGCTGGGCCCCGGCGCAGTGCCCCGCCTGGAACGGCGCAGGTTGGCGAGCAGTGCGGGTCGAGGGAGGTCGACAGGGGAATCGGGGAGCCATTGCAAGAGTTGAGGATCTAGGGCCTCGTACGGCTCTGCTGGGCGGCGGGCAGGGTCACGGAGGTGTTGCAAGGCGCTGTCGTCCCCAGCAGCATCCTGCAGCGAGGGGCTCGGCGAGTAATGCCTGGCGGGCAGCTGACAGTTCGCCAAGGTGCGCAAGATGAACAGCACAGTCCGCACGCGAAAGACGCTAGACATCATCGAGGCAACGTGCGGCGTCGCGTCGGATATTCCGAAACGCGGATCTTCGGCTGGTGCGACGCCCCACCTGCCATCGCCGCCTTGGCTCCCGAAGTGTGGTGTGCCAATCGGCCATCCCAATGTCTGGACGATGCCCCCGCTGCCCGCAGCTGACAGCGACGTGCCGCTAGCTGAGCTCCTCCAGTTCGCGGCGGACACGGCACCCAGCCCCCGCTTTCCCGGGATGCTCTCGGTGTCATGCTGCATGCGCTGGTCGCCAAATGATGAGCTGACATCATAAAGTCCTGCTGGCGGATCAGGAGCGTCTCGAACTGCTGGCGCACGGAACGACACCTCACCAAAGCTGAGTTGCCCGAAGCGGTGTCGCATGTCCTCGCCCTAGCACGCCTGACCGCGTTGCAGCTCTCGCAAAACAGTGGTCCCCCACGCTCGATGCCGCCACTCGCCCCCTCCAATATGCTTTGCAAGCGCGCGCAGGCAGTGATGCCTTGACGTCCCAACTTCGCGTCGCGTTGGAGCGATCACCGGACGCGGTCGTGGTCTCCTTGGATGGCCGGGCAGCCTACGACACGATCTCCCGCGAGTCCTTCTTGACAGCTCTGCAGGAGGTGGCCCCGAGCTTGCTACCCTTCGTCCGGTTTTTTACGGGCGTCCTTCCGAGTATTATTGGTGGGACTCGGCAGGGTCGTGCAGAACGGTGGTCCAAGGGGAGGGCCGCGAGCAAGGCGATCCTCTCTTCCCGCGGCGCTGTCGGCCAACATGCGGCGCTACGCGCGGCTCAGGCTCGCTTGCACCCGGAGGGCGAGGAAGTATTCGCATTTTTGGACGATCTCTACGTCCTTACCACGTTGGCACGAGAAGCGCGGGACGTCGCCGCAGGTGAGGTGGAAGCCACGTGCGGCGTCGCATCCAACCATGGCAACAAGCGCATCTTCGGCTGGTCCGGCCCCGCCCGAGGTCGCCGAGCTGGGACCCGACGTGTGGCGCGGGAACAAACCACTTAAGGAGCGCGGGTTCATAGTGCTCGGCGTGCCCTGCCCACTGGCCACCCAGCGTTCGTCCAAGCAAGCGAGCGAGCGCCTCAGCGAAGAGCAACGGCTGCTCCGCAAACTGCCTGCCCTGCCGGATGTGCAGTGCACGTGACTGCTGCTGGCACTGTGTGCATCGCCCCGCTGCAACCACGCGCTCCGCAGTGTGCCACCCCAGGAAGTCGCCGCATACCGCCATCTGGGAGTGTGGGCGGGCTGGCCCTAGCGAGCGCAACGCGCACTAGCCCTGCGGCGTATGGGGCGGCCTGGGCCGACGGCTTAATTGCTGGTCATCCAAGCCCGACGGCCCGGGTTCGCGAGCGCCTGCGTCGGGGGTTGGCCGCAGTCGGAGTTTACAGCAAGCTTCGGATGCGCGAGCTCGTCTGCTTACGGAGGGCTGGCTCCAATGCCCTGCCTGGACACGTCTGCTGGGGGGTCAGGAGGTCCACGCTTTGACTGACAGAAATTTGGGGGATTGGGCCCCATGGCTGGCAACATCTTCCGCGAACGCGTGCTGCTGCCGACCATGGAACCAGTCGCCCAGGCTCTCCTCGGGTCACAAGCGGGGCCACACGCCGGAGCCATACCCTCTGACGACAGCCACTCCCTTCCGCCAGAGGCAATGGTCGAATCGCTCCTGTGCTTGCCAGCCGATTTCTGCAACGAGGACCACGAGACCCTGTGCAGAGGCCTGTTGCAGCTCGGGGTACGTGGCCTGTTTGCGGCGCTGGGGGCAGCACGGCTTTGCGGCTGGCCGGCGTCCCGACGCATGTCCGGGCCTGCTGGCACGCTCAGCAACACGCAGCGCGGCTCCGGCTGTGCAGCCCCACCACCACACTCTGGCACACCCGCCGCTGACCGGCGAGAGGAGTGTGGTGTCAACGGCCAGCTGCATGCCGCCCCAAAGAGGCAGACCGTTGCAAATGACCTCGCTGCGTCTCTGATGTTGATGCGTCACGACCATCACGGCGAAGGCATGACTTGGATATGATGTTTTTGTTTTGTATTTTGTATGGGCTTGACTGTTGGGTATGACCTAACCGTCTACCTGTAAAAATTTAATTTGGCTACAATGGTCAAAGTCTGCAAGCGCTAGCGTACAGAGACAAACATCCGCGTGAAATATGACGGCACCTTCACGACTTGCCGACGAGAATTATATCGCCCATCGCGAGGGCGGTGGATGTGGCAAAGATATGGTGTGTTTTTTCATTGCATTTACGCTCACAGGGTTTGCCTGTTGGAACAAGCAAACCTTGTGAGCGTGATGGGACATACGCGGATGAGATTCGTTGGCAGCCAGCGCGGCCGATGAGTTTGGAGCTGGAGACCCATGGAGACCCTCAAGCAAAACAGCGGGAGCCAGGTGGCCGCTAGGAGCTTGAAACGAGACACAAGTCGTGCGCTTGAGTTCTGGTTCCGGGAGAAGGTTTGGGGGGTTTGTGCGAGCTGTGAGACACCGACGGTGGATCATGGTTTGTGAAAATCGGCGTGCGAACGCTTCCTGATGTCACATCTGAATTTCGGGCAACCGGATAGAGTAAGTGTGTGTGTGTGTGGCTTGAAAAGACTCTACCAAATCATTGTACAAAGCGTGATTTAGTATATTGGTTGATGGCCATCTTGTACGCCGCAAAATTTTCATGAAGCTCGTTCTTTTTGGCAAATACACAAAGCGCATGGCAGGTTGTTCATGAAGCTGCATGAAGCTTTGGTCCCCTGGCCCGCTTCACCTGGTTTGCTGGTGCATCGCTGCGCCCTCTCTCCAATTCCTTTAACTCATCTGGCCTTCGTTTAAGGCTTCTTGTAATTCAGTTCCGAGAAGCTCGCTCTGGAAGGTTTCGGCTCAGCGCAATTCTGAAACTGTCCATTGCCTTCTAGGCAACCGAGCATGTGCTTTGAAGTTCGTAAATAGCCGTGATTTTTTTGTGCTTCACCCCAAGTGTCCTGAAGCCTTGAATAACTTAAATCCTATTGAGCCCAATAGGGGCTAACTGATGCAATGGCCATGAACCTCAAACCTGAACGCCCCAAATGCAGACCCCCTCAAACCTTGAAGCTCCAAGTGAGTCCACTCTAAACCTTAAGTGCCTCCAAGCCCCTTAAACCCTTTAGCTCAACAGCTTGTATTGGGATGCAGTTGAGCTCACCGAAGCGCGGAGAGCTAGCTGTCTTTGAACGACCGTGAGACACCGTCAGACATGAAACCGCCCTTCATGATCATGATGACAACTTGCACGGCCGAAAACAAAACAACAAACGAAAACATGAGGATTCCTTGCGCTCCCGCAATAGATGATCCCGTCTGATGGAGTCTGTGTTTAAAACGTGTTTCCAAGCTCAGCACGTTTGAACAGCGAGTTTGCATGGAATCAAGGCCATCAGCACAAAAAAAACATGAACTACCGTTGCGATGACGTGCAGAACGCCTAGCCAACAATCATGATGTGACTCCAACTGGCATGAAGAGCGACACCAATGCAAGAGAGTTCCAGCATCACATTGTTGTGCACAGGCACGTTTGGGCCAACAACGATGCGCTGTCACTCAGAAGACCAAAGTCTTCACGACTGAAACTCCTGACGCTCCATTGCCCAAAAACATGTTGCGCAACATGCTTGGAGGTTCTCATGCAACTATGCGTTGGGCACACATGCAAATTGGTATCAACGGCGTCCAAATAACGCCCTTTTAGTTTTGTAGTTTAGTGCTGCGGTTGCGCACCGACAACGTGTTGATGCAGGTCTGATCAAGTTCAGGCTAGATGCGAATAATCGGTTGTTGAGATCCGTTCGCCGACCAGGAGCGGCGACGAGCAGAGGGGCCGCGTGGGCAAGGCATCTCTCACGGGCTCCTCGCTGGACGTTGGGGTGCCCTGACCGCAGGGATCGCTCCGGCGGACGAAACAGTCGCTGCCTTGTGCGATCCGGCGCGGCGCCCGCCTGTGCTCCTGCACGACGTGCCCGCCGCCCTCCTCAACTTCCAGCCGGCCTCCGGCCATGCTCACGGATGCCGACGTGGCTCAAGCTCTGCGGACTGCCAGGCGCGGCACCGATGCTGCTGGGCTGTCGGGCGCCACGTGTGAGCACTGCAAGCTCCTGCTCGACGACGCGGAAGCACGCGACAAAAAGGACAAAAACGCGAACGGCAAAATCGAGGCTGAAAATGGGTGTTTTTTGGAGACGCAAAAAAAATTCTCAAAAAAATCGAGCGCGAATGCTGGTATTCACAGCATGTTGTCGTCGAAAACGCATTCTTTCAGAGAAACCTCTGAAAGCGACACGTTTACAGTGCGGTTGTGCACATTTTCAAAAGTCAATGCCAAAAACCCCAGCGAAACGCGCGTTCTTGCAAAACAAAAAAAGATCTACAAAAAATGTGTTTTGTCCATCGCACCAGGGGGCGCAACTGCTGCTGCTACTGCTACTGCACTACTACTACTGCACTGCTGCTATTTATTGAACGCTGAGCGAGCGGGCTCTGCTCATTGCGGGCGATTTGCACCGTCTGAGCACCAAAATTGGGTTGAAGCTAATGGTTAGGAGAGGTGAAACTGAATTCAACACTGAAAAGAAAGGTTGGACTTTACAGGATTTTGGGATCAGAAAGACAGAGCTGTTTTAACTCCTAGCCGGTGTAGCGACAGGGAACAACAAGGCTTGTCAGCTTCGAGGCCAGAAATGGCTTCATACAGAATACGGGTTTCAATTTCTCTGGGGCATCTCATTCTTCAAGCTAGACAAAGGCTTGCTTAACAACTGCTGTGAAGCAGGTGATTGCTCGTCTCCGGGTGACGACGTGGAGCCTATTGGCACCTTTGAAGCATAGAGCACAGCCGTGACGTGGTGCTTAGATGAATCATGATTGCGGCATATCACTGCACGTGTGATTCCTACCTCATTCGTCAGTTTTCTCCTGCATCCGCCATTGCGACAAAAAGGACAGATCACTGTGTTTGGCCTCATTATCAAGAGCAGTCCACGGAGTTCCGAAGCGTGACACTCTGGTTGTTTTAGGGGATTTTAACTCCACGCTGAACACAAGTGCGGGAGTGGTAGGCACCTGCACTCCAGGCTCGCCACAGCATCGCTCAGCAGAAGACGCGAATTTTCAACGCCTCGTGCAAGGACATGGTCTTGTTGCGCTTAATACATGGTCCTCGGGATCAGGCCTGACATTTCACACTGCCACTTCAAAGTCTCAGATAGACTATATTCTAGTCCCGAAGCCACTAGCGCGCGGAGAATCTAAGCAGAGCAAGCCTTTGACAGATTTTCCGCTGGGAAGGTGGAAGAAAGGGGCCACTACCCAGTTGAGGCGAAGATCCGGCCTCTACGGCACTGGCAGCTCTCCTCCCACCCCCCCCCCCCTCCCCCCTATGACAAGCAGGCTCTCGAGGAGGCAGTGCGGTAAAATCACCCGAAAGCGCAGGCAATGAAGGATTGAGTAGCCGACCAGCTTTCTCAAATCTCCACGCTGGACATGGAGGAGGTAAATAAGGCGCTGCTTAAGGCCTCAGAGAGATACTTCCCAAGAGCTCCTAAGCCCTCTTCTCCCCCTCTCAATGCAATGCACAGGGCAACAAAGCGTATGTGGCATATGGGCCCGTTTGACAGCTTTGGATGAAGATTTAGAGAATGCCTCGCTGTCCCTTGCTGATCACGAGACACTGGTGAAAGACCTTTCCACGTGGCACAAGCAAGCGGTTACGAGAGCACGCAGACAACGCTTAGCTGACTTCACGCAGGAAGTAGATCAATCTACACAACGAGGCGACTCTTACTTGGCCCACAAGACACTGCAGAAGCTTCGTCCCTGGCAGCCGCAGCCCAAAACTCAGTTAGTCAACCAGGATGGCTATCTGATGGCGGCTGAAGAGGAACTCAAACTCATGCAGGAACATGCAAAGGCAGTGTTTCAGAGACACGACAGGTTGCAATTCCAGGTCAGCAGCCTTCCAACGTTCTCAGCCCCCCTTCTCTCGAAGCACATAGGCTCCATCAGACCTCATAAGGCTGTTCCCCAGAACTCAGCGTCTCCAGCTGCATGGAAGCTCTGCTCTGAATGGGTCAGTGAGCAACTCCTGAGGTACTGCAACGAGCAGGCCCGCAAAGCGGAGCACAGCCCTCTTGACTCGGCAGTGATCCTATCTGCACAGCTGACGGACACTGACCTATGCTTCATCCCCAAGCCCAACAACCCCCCAACCAAGCCTTCAAACCTTCGTCCCCTAGGCATCGTCAGACCGGACGGAAAGGGCCTGGCGGGGGCCTGCAGAGATCTCCTTGCTCCTTTTACCTCCAGCTACTTGAAGCCTGTGCCACAGTTTGCATATCAGCCTCAAAGAGGGCTGTCTGATGCCCTCTCCAGGGTATCGAAGCACACCAGAGAGGTAAGAAGCATCTGTGCCCAATCGCGACGAAGCAGGCATTCCCTGCATGCTGGACAGCGCAAGCCGGAGTTGGTGGGAGGGATCTGCTTTGCACTCGACTTATCACAAGCCTTTGACATGGTGCGTCGACAGGACCTCATGGACACTCTTCAGGAAGCTGGGGTACCGTCCGACATCCAGGGCTTAGTGGCATCACTGCACTCTGACAGCAGATACACTGTTCGATCCCAGCAGACCTCATGCTCAGTTGAATCCACAACAGGCATAAAGCAAGGCTGTAAACTAGCTCCAGCCTTGTGACAGGAAAGCTATTTCGTGAACTCGCTGAGGTGGTAGGCTGGGATCGCGTGATGCACTGCTTGACAGGATACGCAGATGATTTGACTGTTCATTGCAGCATCACCAGCTGGAAAGACCTGATGCAGGCACACACCATGATAGCTGATCTCCTACGAATTGTGAGGAAATACGGCTTCAAGGTGAACTCAGACAAATGCCACTTGATGGTTAAGCTGATGGGCACTGCTTCCGCCCGAGCACAAAAACTCTTCAGAAAAATAAGAATTGACGCC